TTTCATGTTGCTGCTGATCTGTTTCATGTTGCTGCTGATCTGTTTCAATGTTGATGTGTTCATGCGTGCACATCTGCTCACAGACTCATGTTCATGTTTGTGCTGATGTTTTATGTTATGAGTGCTTAGTGTATATTTAGTTGATGTTTTTCTTAGTTCATATCTTAGATGTTATTACTGTTTTTCTTATACATTTTATTGTTGGATGTAACTGGGACCTTGTGTACATAATTTCGCTCCACCACATGTATCACATGAGGTGCGAATGACAATAAAGAAACTCTGACTCTGACTCTGATTAAAGTCCCCCAGCAGAATACAGGAATCCCCAGTTGGCGCACCTTCTAGCACCCCTGCCAAGAACTCCAAGAAGGTCGTATACTCTGAACTGCAGTTTGGCGCGTATGCACAAACAAAAGTCAGAGCCCTTCCCCCCACACGAAGGCGAAGGAAAGCCACCCTCTCATCTACTGGGGAAAACTCCAATACACAGGCACCAAGTCAGGGGGCTACAAGCAGACCCACACCAGTTCAACGCCTCTCACCATGGGCAACTCTAGAGTGGAATAAGGTCCAACCCCTCTCAAGGAGATCAGTTCCAGAGCCCATGCTGTGAGTCGAGGTGAGCCCAACTATATCTAGTCGGTACCTGTCAACCTTGCGCACACGAGCTCAGGCTCCTTCCCTGCCAGACAGGTTACATTCCATGTCCCAAGAGATAGCTTTGGTAAGCCAGGGTCAGAGCGCCAGGGTCTACAAACTCCTCCACCACGATAAAGTGGCGATTCAAGGAGGAGTATACAGATACAGATATTCTTTATTGTCATTTGCACCACATGTGGTACATTTGGTGGATCAAAATTATGTACACAGGGTCTCAGTTACATCCAACAATAAAATGTAAAAGAAAAACATTAATAACATCTAAGATATGAACTAAGAAAAACATCAACTAAAATATGCTAAGCACTAATAGAATAAAAACAATACGTCGAACAGCAGCACGGACATGAGTCTGTTTGAGCAGATGAGCACAAATGAACACATCAACATGAAACAGATCAGCAGTAACATGATGTGATTTTCCACAGTGATTATCCTGGTTAGATATCCATAAGGCTGCACAAACTCAAGTTCATGTTGCTGTTTGACGTATTGTTTTGATTGTTTACTGCTATTAGTGCTTAGTGTATTATTAGTAGATGTTTTTATTTGATATTTTTCTTAGTTCATATCTTAGATCTTATTACTGTTTTTCTTTTACATTTTGTTGTCTGTAACTGGGACCCTGTGTACATAATTTCATCCTACCACATGTTCAACATGTGGTGCGTATTCAGTATTTATTCAACATTTTATTTTTTTTCTTTAAAAATAAAATAAATCAAGTCCTTATCGGCACGAATAAAGTGATGTGGAACATGTTGCATCTGTTCTTACCGAGCACAGAAGCTGCAGCGTTGTGCTGCTCTGTGCGGTGCAGCTGGGCTGTGATGGAGCTCTGTCAGGTGTAGACTCTGCTGATGGAGCAGGGGCAGAAGCCGGGAGGCTTGGAGGGTTCAATGTGGAGTTTAGAGATGAACCGTCACGTTCTGAAATATGTTCTGCATAAAATACAGTGAGAAACGGGACCGGAGGACAGTTAGCGTTTATGCAAATTAGCTTAGCATCGTAGCACCGATGTTGTACTATTATGGCGTCAGCCTCTTTTGTTAGTTAAAAATATGTTCAGAACCGATGGGATGAGTAACTTAAAATATGTTTAAAGTTAGAAAACACTCACCATCTTCTATAATTGATTCAAGTAAAGCAGTGGCCATGTCCAAACCACCCTCCAATCGCTCCATCTAGCACGCTTTGACTTTTTTCTTCGGCCACCAAGCACAACAACACCTGCACTTTTGCATTTGACCACGGCTTTGATATTATTGTTTTTGTATAGCTTCAAAATACTAAAAGATACTCTCCTCGAGTTATCGCTAATGGCAGCCGGTAGGGAAAAATGGCAGATCGGGTTGTTTGGAAAGACTCCACAGACTCCTCCCCCCGACCAATCAGTGACCGACAGTGTTTCTGACGTCACGGCTCGGCTCGCTTGAACCCCTTGAGAAGCCGGGCCAGTACCAGCAGGTACGAAGTACTAATGGAAAAGACCTCAAACACGGGGCGAACCGGAAATATTCGACCCGCGCCGTGACAGTGGAAAAGGGGAAAAAAGGTCAAACTGTGTGTGTGTGGGACGGGGGGGGGGGGGTGCAGGTGCATACCATGCAGGCGGTGCTCCAGATGTCAGCGGGCGGCCCATACTCTGCTCCAATCAGAACCTCCAGAGCTCTGTACTGCCTCGTCTGAATGTCCTCTGTGAAGTGTTTGTGCTGGTTAAGAGACAGACAGACCGACAGAGAAGAGCAATCTGATTGGCTGAACATGGAAGCAAATAATAAAGAAGACGAGGATAGATGAAGGCTTCTCACCAGCCAGCAGGCATTTCCCAGGTCAGCGATCTTAACCCAGATCCTGTCGGCATTCCGAGGATCCAGAGGGTTGATGACAAAATCTGATGAGCTGAAAGCTGCAGACGCAACGAGCAGAACCTGACTCTGATTGGTCAGGACTTAGCCAATCAACAAGCAGAACCCAGCTGTGTGAGTTTGTGTATCAGTTTGGGTGCGTATTTGTATGTGTAACTCTTGTATTTATTTGCGTATATCTGTGTGTGTCCTTGTGTGTGCGTGTGTGAATCTGGGTGAGTGTTCTTACCGTCTCGTCCACTGGAACATCCTGACTGAGTAGAAAGTGCAGACTCAGATGTTGCTGACATCATAGAACTGGAGAAGCCTGATAGACCAGAGGCGGGGCTTGAGAACCGTCCAGGGGCTTGGTCAATACATCTGTCCTCCAACCATGATCTGTTGGACTCTGGGCTGACTTTGGTGTTGGCTCTGCAGCAAGAGGTGTTGCAATTGATGACCACCGGACCTGAAAACAAAAGACATCTTGATAAAATATGATGTTAAAAGTTTGTTCTGCATGAGAACATATTCATGGCTGAGAACAGAGGGTCTCAGCAGAACCGTTTGGACAGACATAAAAAGTGGTAGTGGTATGTTAAAGAAAAGATTTAAAAGAACCTGAAACAGAGGAAACAAGCCTAATTCCTTTTCGTAGCACACAGCCAACAAGGTATGTTTGTTTATCGGTGTTTTGATTTTCATCAAGTTTACAAGTGTTTAATATTGAAATTTGTTTGTATTTTTCATGAGTTAATTGTTGTTTTGTCTTATGTGTCTTCTTCAGTTTTCACGTATCGAACCTTAATAAATTTATCAATTTGAGGGAACCACTTTTGTCTGGGCATGCTCAAAAGGAATTAGAACACCTATGTCTAAAAATGTTAAATCTGGTCCTCTGGACTTTCAAAAAACAAAACAAAGCAAAACAACAACAAAAAAAAGTAGAAAAGTTTCGTCTTTCATCCGAAAGTAAAGTAAACTTCTTCAGTCTGAGGTGCTGTGTTCATCTCAGTCTTATAAATAGAACCTTCTCAGAGTGGATCAACCAGTTTGCTGCTGACAACCAAAACCAGCTGATCACATGCTCAAGAAGGACCATCAGCCTAACAATGGATCATTAGCACCTGATGGCTGTTTACTGTTCACAGAGGGCTGAGTGATACTAGCAATCACAGCATTGTAAGAGGGGGACAGTTGAACCTGGAGGCTCCACCCCTGTTTAATGATGGACGATTTCTTTTCACAAAGATGGCCTCCTTTACTCCTCTCTCAAACCATCGTTCCTCTCTGTCCAGGATGTGGCTTTTAAACCCCAAATACATTAAAGACTGGTTCATCCCAAAGATCCAGTCCCCCGGCACAAACAGAGTAATATTGTGTATGTTGTTCAGTGTCAGGAGGGCTGTGATCAGTCTTACATCGGGGAAACTAAACAGCCACTGGCCAAAAGGATGGCCCAGCACAGAAGATCAACATCATCAGGCCAGGACTCTGAGGTCTACACTCATCTCCAGGCCAGAGGTCACTCTTTCAGGGATGAAGATGTGCACATCCTGGACAGAGAGGAACGATGGTTTGAGAGAGGAGTAAAGGAGGCCATCTTTGTGAAAAGAAACCGTCCATCATTAAACAGGGGTGGAGCCTCCAGGTTCAACTGTCCCCCTCTTACAATGCTGTGATTGCTAGTATCACTCAGCCCTCTGTGAACAGTAAACAGCCATCAGTGTGCTAATGATCCATTGTTAGGCTGATGGTCCTTCTTGAGCATGTGATCAGCTGGTTCTGGTTGTCAGCAGCAAAACTGGTTGATCCACTCTGAGAAGGTGCTATTTAAGAGAATGAGCTGAATACAGCTCCTCAGACTGAAGAAGTCTTTCGGATGGAAGATGAAACGTTTCTATATATTTTTTCTTTGTTTTGCTTTGTTTTGTTTTTTGAATGTCCAGAGGACCAGATTTAACTTTTTTAGATTTTTCTACCTGGGTTATTGAGCATGCATCAGGATATATCTTCTTGTTCTAGAATTGCACCGCTCCAGGTGGCTGCATGTTGGAGCAGCTCTGCTACTTTCATTCTGAGATTTTTTTTTTTTGGAAACTTTAATTCCTCTTTTTCTGGATGTAAATCACATTTTTTGGATGATTGTTTCCTCTGGTATCAGATGCTGTGCAGCTGGAAGGCTTTTTACTGAAACTTTTTTAGTTTTGGATATTTGTTATGATGCGTAACCATGACAACAAGGCAGTTTTCTACAACCAACAGCAGCTGATTAAAAGCTCAAATAATATCTCAGCTACAGCCCCAAATCTCAAATGAGTTGAAAAGGATGTTCTGTGGACGTATTCTCATCTACCTGCCAGCTGTGCTCGAGTGCCTGACCACTGAGATCCTGGAACTAGCAGGAAACATGGCTCATGACAACAGAAGGACAGGATCGTCCCTCAGCACCTACATTTGTCTGTCCGCAGCGACGAGGAGCTTGGCTGACTGCTGAGAGGAGTGGCCATCGCTCTGGGAGGAGTTCTGCCCGGCATTCGGGCGATCCTACAGCCCGGGGGAACCGAGAGGCCAGCCGAGTCTGGGTGGACGAATCGGACGGCATCTGCAGCCAGTTTCTTAGGATCCACTGTGGGATGGACCTTTACAAGAGATCTTTACTGCCTACAACCATCAGCATCTATAACATCTCTTAATGAAACGAGGATAACGAGTTACAACAACAAATAATTTCCCTTTGGAATTAATAAAGTATTTTTGAATTGAATTTGAATTGAATTGAATAATAGCAATGGCTGAAAAATCAAAGACCTTGCATAACTTCTGTCCTTGATTAGTGACTATTGTTAAAGACGGGAGCTGGCTGCGGGTCACCAGACCTGGAAACCCCCTTCAGCCCCCGTCTTGAACCTCCCTCAGAAGTGACAACTCTCATTATCAATAAATCAAGGAAACGTCAATTAAGTTTTATCAATTATATTAGAAAAGGCAGGAAAAGGTTACAATTTACAGCGCTGGTCTCTCCGGTCTGTGATGCGTTCACAAACCTGGAAGAGCCCCTATGTCCTGTGTCATTACTCATTTATAGGGTCCTAGACTCATCCTTCACAGACGGGGAGCTCAACCTGTCAGTGTATGAGGGGGCGTGACTAAGTGTGATCTTAGTGGATCTTATGTGTTTCTGATGTGTTAGGAAATATGAGACGGTGCTTCAAAAGCCTTTCTACGTGATGTGGCAGATTAAACTCTATTCCTTGAAAACTATTGAAATCCCAGGGAGACTCTCTCAGAGCTGCTGGCCCAGTTTCACCCAGTCAGAACCAGGTCATAATTTCATTATAATCCTGTCTCTGAGCAGATCAAAATCCCAGGACCAGTCTAGATAAAAATATCCAACCTTGGGACCTTGGAGCTGGCATGATGAACAATGTATGCAACACTCTGTCTAGTGATGATTCAGATGTTCATTAAGTTTAATGAAATTCTCTTGAGCGGATTATAAGATATGGCCCAGGTAAGAGATAGATTTTGGATGTACAGTATGGACAGAGAATGATACCAGAATATTTACCGCCTTTGACAGCATATTAAAATATGATCAGTTTTACCTGAACACAAAAACGATTGTGTTTGAGAAAAGGCATAGCTTCAGTGTGAACTCACAGTCTGCATCCATGTCATCAGGTTTCAGTACACCCTCCTCTTCCTCCATCCTCTGAACACAAACATGAAAATGTGAAATATGCTCAAAAATCACTGTAGTATTGCAGAAGTAAATGTACCTGTAAATCCATCAGTCTCTCTTCAAGGAGCCTTTGCTGACGCTTTACTTTTCTCTTCAACTTTTTCTTTTTGTTTTTGGACAATTTTCCCTCCTACACACACATACAAACAGAAATATAAAACAATGACAACAGGACAGCACAGATTTAAGAATTTTGGAAAAGGAAAACAGTTTTAGTTTTCACAGAGAGACAGTAACTGACAAACATCCTACATGTTAGAGAGAAGAGTGTCAAAATAATATTACAGTTTCAAAGTTCATTCCACGTGAAGTAACTCACAGAAAACGGCAGACATCACATTAACATGGACTCTTACCTGCATGGCCCTGGGAGCTGTGCTAACTAGAACACACCGAGGTAAGCAAACATCAGGAAGTAAAGATGGAAAACAGGGAGAGAAAGAAACAAGAAACAGCCTGGTCAGATCTAAAAAGGCAGACAGAAAATAGACAGTACAGAAACAAGTGACACATGAACCACAACTCCCAGACAAACTATGAACCACAGCTCACAGTGACACCATCAACCAAAACTCACAGAGACACCGTGAACCACGTGAACCAACTGTGAACCGTGAACTTGGCCAAGATGGCCACGCTCTCTGGAGCCGCAGTTTCACAGGCTCCCAGTACGATCCCCAGTTCTTAGGAGTTTTGAAATTGACTCTGTGCCTGACTCCGCACGATTTATGCGTGTGAATTAAAGCTGAACCGAACTGATGAATAGAATAGTCTTTAAAATTCTTCTGTTAATTCAAGTGCCTAAATGGCCTTTTTCATTCATTCATTCAACCTTAATTTAGACAGGTAAATCCCATTGAGCCTCGAGGATTCATTTACGAGAGAGACCTGATTTCAACAAAGAAAGATGAAACAATGGACAGTTATAAAAAGTCATACTCCAGTTTTTTGTTTTTTTTTAACTAATAGGATGGCTAAAAAAAAGGTAACAAAAAAAAAACCCCAGCTAGATTCTAAGGCGAATGTAGAAAACTAAAAACAGGAACATGTCTGCATTGGTCCCTGCCAGGAGTCCAACAGATTCTTAAAGACACTTTGAGAGGTCAAAGGTCGAGAGCTTCAGATATTTTTACAAGATATTCCAGGAAACAGGAGCGGAGTAGGAGAAGGCCCTCTTGCCTAGTTCAGTCCTCACTGAGGGAACACTGCAGGTAATGATGTCCTGAGAGCGCACGCTGTAGCTGCACTCACACAGAGACATGTAGGAGGAGATGTATGAAGGCAGCAGACCAGGAAGTGATTTAAAGATGAAGATGTACCAGTGAGAGAGTCTGGTGAAGTTAATGATGTCCAGTTAACCAGTGAATACTGGGTGCAGTGGTGGGTACGGTAGTTACAGCCAGTTATGAATCTTAGTGCACCATGATAGACAGCATCCAACATCTGCAGCATCCAACATCTGCAGCATCCAACATCTGCAGCATCCAACATCTGCAAAATTCTGGTAGGAAAACTCCTGTAAATAATGTCACCGTATTCAATGGAGGGAAGGAAAGTCACAGATACGTGTTTCCTAGCATTCAGGGTTAGACAGGATCTGTTTCTGAAAAAGAAACCCAGTTTAACTTTCAGTTTCTTTATCAAGTTTTCCACATGGAGCTTAAAATAGAGATGCAAGTTGACCAAGATACCCAAATATCCTGATGCATGCTCAATAATCCAGGTAGAAAAATCCAAAAAAATTCAATCTGGTCCTCTGGACATAAAAAAAAACAAAAACAAAAATAAAACAAAGCAAAAAAATGTAGAAACGTTTCGTCTCTCATCCGAAAGACTTCCTCAGTCTGAGGTGCTGTATTCAGCTCAGTCTCTTAAATAGCACCTTCTCAGAGTGGATCAACCAGTTTGCTGCTGACAACCAAAACCAGCTGATCACATGCTCAAGAAGGACCATCAGCCTAACAATGGATCATTAGCACCTGATGGCTGTTTACTATTCACGATACCCAAATATTTATAGGAATCAACAAACTCAATGGGGACACCATTTGAGGATAAAATCGGAGTTAGAACTGCTGGGACCAACTTCCTATTTGAAAAAAAGCATCCCTTTGGTTTTGTCGGCATTTAGGTCAAGTTTGAGGTGGAACAAATCTGTCTGGATGTAGATGAATGCAGATTCCAAAAGCTGGAAAGCCTTAGCAACAGTTTTAGCTCGACAATAAACAACTGTGTCATCAGCATAGAAATGTATGGAAGCATTAGGGATGTTTTTACCTACATTATGTATTCAATTCAATTCAGTTTATTTATATAGCACTAAATCACAACAAAGTTGTCTCAGGGCACTTTACAGGAACATTCACATAAAAGCCAATTAGTAAATTTCTCTATCTAAGGAATCCAGCAGACAAGTTAAATCTTGGCTTCGTTGCAGTCTCCCATCCTGAGCAAGCAAAGTGGCAACAGTGGAAAGGAAAAACTCCCTTTTAAAAGGAAGAAACCTCCAGCAGAACCAGGCTCAGGACAAGCGGCCATCTGCTTTGACCGGCTGGTTGAGAGGACAGAGAGGAGAAACAGACGAACATAGAATGGTAGGTCCAGGTATAGGTCCAGGTGTATCTGAAAGACAAAAAACACATGTTAAGGATAGAAAAAATAATTACAAATACAAAACAGGTTGAGCAGAGTAAGTAAAGACAGTAGCAGAGTGAAAATTGTGGTCAGTTTGTCCTCCAGCAGTCTAAGCCTATAGCAGCAGAACTAAGGGACAGCTCAGGAAACCCAAGCCAACACAAACTATAGGATTTAGCAAAAAGGAAAGTCTTAAGCCTAGTTTTAAAACTGGATAATGTGTCAGCCTCACGGACAGAGATAGGAAGTTGGTTCCACAAGAGAGGAGCCTGAGAACTGAAAGATCTGCCTCCCATTCTATTTTTGTAAATTCTAGGAACCACAAGTAAACCTGCAGTCTGAGAGCAAAGTGCTCTGTTAGGAAAATATGGAACAATAAGATCTGTAATATAAGATGGAGCCAGGTTGTTGAGAGCATTGTAGGTTAGAAGTAAGATTTTGAATTCTATTCTGGATTTGACAGGGAGCCAATGGAGAGAAACTAAAACTGGAGAGATATGATCTCTCCCACTAACTCCAGTTAAGACTCTAGCAGCAGCATTTTGGATCAACTGAAGACGTTTTAAAGAAGTATTTGGACACCCAGATAATAAACCATTGCAATAGTCCAGTCTAGACGTGACAAATGCATGGACCAGTTTTTCTGCATCATCTTTAGATCAGATGTTTCTAATGTTAGTGATATTACGCAGGTGGTAGAAGGTGGTTCTAGTAAGGTTTTTAATGTGGGGGATAAAAGACATGTCCTGATCAAAAATAACACCAAGATTTTTAACATTAGAGCTGGAGGACAGATTAATGCCATCTAAGGAGGGAGAAAGACTGAAACATTCATTCCTAAGATGCTCAGGTCCAAAAACCAAAACCTCAGTCTTGTCTGTTCAACAGGAGAAAATTAAGGGTCATCCAGGTTTTTATGTCTTTAAGACATGCTTGTAGTCTAAGTAGCTGATTGGATTCATTGGGTTTAATGGACAAATATAACTGTGTGTCATCAGCATAACAATGGAAATTTATCCCATGTTGTGTAATAACTTTACCTAATGGAAGCATATATAAAGTAAAGAGTATTGTTCCAAGCACTGAGCCCTGAGGAACTCCATGACTAACTTTGGTGTATGAAGAAGATTTATTTATTTAATTTATTTATTTATTTATTATTTACATTTACAAACTGGAATCTATCATATAGATATGATTTAAACCATTTTAGAGCTGTTCCTGTAATCCCAACATCATATTCAAGAGTCTGTAGTAAAATATTGTGATCAACTGTATCAAATGCAGCACTGAGGTCTAACAGGACCAGTAGAGACACCAGTCCATTGTCTGAGGCCATGAGAACATCATTAGTGACTTTTACTAGTGCTGTTTCTGTGCTATGATGAGCTCTAAACCCTGACTGAAACTCTTCAGATTATTTCTTTGTATATGTTCACACAACTGACCTGCAACTATTTTCTCTAGAATTTTTGAGATGAAAGTTAGATTAGATATAGATCTACAGTTGGCCAGAATTTCTGAATCAAGGTCAGACTTCTTAAGTAAAGGTTTAATTACAGCAACCTTAAAGCGCTGTGGTACATAACCATCCATTAAAGACAAATTAAGTAGATCCAAAATGTGGACATTAATTAGTGGAAATACCTCTTTAAACAGTCTGGTTGGGATGGGATCTAGCAGACATGTGGATGGTTTGGATGAGGCTATTATTTTTGACAATTCAGAGCTCAACAGGACAAAAACTGTCCAAACATAAATCAGGCTTTAGTGAAATTTTTAAAGTTGTCTCATTTGACAGGGGACTTGAGATAGTAGAAGGAAGGATGGTTTGAATTTTCTCTCTAATTGAAATAATTTTATTTATAAAGAATCTCATGAAGTCATCACTACTTATAGTTCTAGGGATACATGGTTCAACAGAGATGGGACTTTTAATTAGTCTAGCAATAGTACTAAACAGAAACCTAGGGTTATTTTTATTCTCCTCTATTAAAGATGAGTAATATAAAGTTCTAGCTTTACGGAGAGCTTTTTTATATGTTAGCAGACTATCTTTCCAAGTTAAATAAAATTCTTCAACATTAGTAGAGCGCCATTTTCTCTCCTGGTTTCTAGATGCTGCTTTAAAGTGCGTAACTCAGAATTGAACCAAGGAGCCAGTTTCCTCTGATTGATTACTTTCTTTTTCATTGGAGCAAATTTATCAAGTGAAGTTTGCATTGAAGTTGTAAGATGATCAACTAGATGATCTAA